ATAGTCAATACCACAAGTTATTTCAATCTAGAAGCTTCATGATCATAACCTGAGCCTGCTTAGTCATGCACTTTCCAATGGAGATTTACCTTATAATCTAGAGCAGTTTCAGAACAGACACCACAAAAGGATATCTTTACACAGTGGATAAATAAACAGATGATACATGCAGAAACCATCATCATGCTTAAGAGTATTCAAACACGTCTGATAGTCCACATACATATATATATATATATATACCACTTACACATGGCAATTTTCCTGTGTCTGGGATGGAATGTGCCTTCCCTGCTTGGAGGGATAAACCCTACTTACCTAATTCCAGATATTGTAAGGTGTTGGTCGGCAAGGGCCAAAGGCACTGGTTGGCAAAAAATATATTTAAATAATTTACAGTGTGCCATCGACAGTTTAGATAATAAATATATAATAATGTCTAATCTTTGCATTTGATATTGCACTATTCATGTCAGGAGGACATCTCACAACACTTCACAGGATATTCTGTAAAGTGTGGAGACTGTTTATTTTGTAGGTGAATAATATGTCTTTGGCCCTAGAACAGCTAACCAGAAAGTATGGTTGAGGCCAGGACACTGAATTCATCTAAGAAATAAATAGCTTGATGCTGTAATTGGAGGACAGTCAAGTGATATTCTTGACGGAAGTGATCTTGTGGTTCTTTGTATAAAATCAGGTGATTTAGCAAGCGTCACAGGACTAAAGTTGTGAATGTCTTACTCTAAACTTTACACTACATTTACCAAGTGACGCAGTTTCACGTGTTCATAGTTGTGAAGTGAAACCAATATTAAACGTATGAAATATTACTCTAGAACCATTGGAAATCTCAGTCTACTGTTCTAAACTTGGCAATATGATCAGCAAATGAAAGAGAGAACTTTCATTGTTAAAACACCTCATCACTTTGGAACATTTGAGTCATCACGGTTAATTACTGTTAAGAATTGTCATTGGTTTTGTGTGGCACATACCAGCAGCACTGTTTGTACGAGCAAAGTCCCATAAACAGTCATGAGGATTGTCTACCAGGGCAAAGGGTCAACACTTGCTGCACACGTCAAAAATGGCCACGTGGCAAAATACTGCAGAATGGAATTATACTCCAGTATTAGATAGTTTCTTCAGGAGAAGGGAAATATGGGAGGGGGGAGAACCCTTTTAATATAAGGATTTGATTCATATAAAGCCACTTATTCACCCACAAAATACACAGTCACTAAACTTTATAATATATTTTGTGAAGTGCTTTGAGATGTCCTCCCGATGTGAAAAGCATTATATCATATGCAATGATTATTAGGATTGTTAGATAATTATCATTTACACTGTCGATGACACACTAAATGATAAGGACTATATTATGGCTCTGTACTTTCCAGCAACGCACAATGCTTGGAGCTTTATATAGCGAATGATCTCAGCCAGGCCAACAGGGAAGTGCAAAGCAAAAGTGAGGCAGTTTTCCACAGGGAAGAACAATCAGAAGCCAAGTCAATCCGATCTACTCATGCGTATCACCAGCATTGACAGAGGTGTGGGAATAGGCTGTCTGAATACAAGCAGTATGTGATGTGGAGGGCGAGGTCTGAACAAAGGGAGGAAAAATAAGGAAGAGACCAGAGGAGGAAATCGTAAATTAAAGACTGTGACTAGAAATAATCCCATTGATGCTGAACAACATCCTAGATTCCTTTAATAGATTTTTTTTATTAAATGGCATGCCGTAGAGATGCTAATCAGAACAAATTATAAAATACATGGAACTTGGTGGCTGTGTAGTTGCCAGCTGCAGATGAATTGAAGCAATGATTCTGTAACACTACAATCCTTATAGAATTAATGTAGCTACGCCAGCAGTCATGGGCTGCACGCACTTTATTCATGGAGAATTCGGACTAAAATGTTAAACTTTTTAATAGATTTGCAGCGACCTCGCCACTGAACAAACGTTAGTATCTATTGTCTGCAGCCAGCACTGTAAACTCACTTCACTTCAACAGTGTCAAGGGAGTGAAGCAGCATAATAACTGGATAGAATAAAGTGAATATTGGTTTATGGTAAACTAATGTATTCAACGCTTTGTTAAACATGTAAGGTTTGTGCCAGTGCTGCCTACTGCATTGGTTGGAACTGATAAGGTCAGCTCATACAAATTTACAGTATTTCCTAGTTTTTTCCATTACATTCTTCCCCTTATCTTATCAACTAATTTTAAATCCTTACATTCGTCAACTAACGAGAACAGATCCGCAATCTATTTCTGAAAAGGGGCATCATTAACTGTTACCATGAGATGAAGCCAGAAATGCATTTGCATTATGGAGGCCAAAAAAAAATACAAGACCACAACAGAGGTTCTGGGGAAGAAGGCTCTTCCAAGTGAAACATTTTTACGTTCAAACCCTGAGGCAGCAAATAACCTTACCAGATGCCTCTGTGGCTACCCAGGCTTTACATGCATCTCCTTTTACAGATCCTTGTTCTTTATAGAATTCCATAGCACCTGTGAAAGGCAGACCAATTACTTCATGGGCGGTTCTTCATGGACCCTTAAGAACTTCAAAGCACACAAGGGGCATAAGAAAGAAGTGTCTCTGAAGTTAAATACGTGGCTATCATGTTCAACCCCCGAATGCACACAGAGCCAGGACTCGATGACGATGAGACCTGTCGCATGGTTTATTATTCAGATTGTATGTATTATTTTCCAGCTTCACAGACTGCCCCCAAAATAATAGTCTGATCCAACCTCTGGTATCAGGTAACAGAATTACAACCATTAGGCAGGATACTGGTGTCTATTTAATGAGTTCCCCTCTCTGTCTGCTTTATGACCAGTGTGTTTATTGGGGGTATTTTCCATTCAGCACTCTCCCGCCCCCCTCCACTCATCATTTGTGAGGTCTGCTCACCTTCCAGGAAGGCAGGTAACAACACAAATAGACTTGGAGCTCCAGCACTCACTCTCTCTCTCTCTCTCTCTCTTTGCGTTTCCTCTGCTTTTTGAATGCAAGCTGTCCAGATCGACCTTTCATTTGTCTGTACGCTAAGTACAGGCAGTAGGTAAATAGTGATTACAGGCTTCTGGGGTGTGTTTTAAGTTGCCCGGAGAGCTTGTGGATTTATTTTTTACCTCTCTTGCCACCGGCAGTGGGTAATATGCCTACTTTGCCCCCCGCCTGGTGTATTGGAACTGAATTCAGATCCAGCAGCAGAAGTGAAATCTTGGCTGAGATCCCTCGTTTGCTGTCAGTTTGGATTGGATTTATTTTGGCCCAAGGCAATCTGTGTATTAGTAAAATCTCAACTCCTTAAATCCCCTCCCCCCCAGCCATGATCATAACAAACCAAGGTTTGGGTAAATTGATTTTGTTTTACTGTGTACCACACCCAGTTCTTCCTAGTGGTTCCTTACAGAACCTATTCCGAAATGCTTTTTATTTTTTTGAAACCACTCCTAATGACTGTTAGGTGTTTTTTCCCCTCATTGTTCCAGGAAACCATCAAGGTTTGCCACTAAGTGTAGCTTGCTGAAGAGGTACAGGCTCATTTAATAGAAATGGACTTATGAATGCTGTTTACGGATTGAGAATGAGTCACAGTATAGATAATGAAGCCTGTGCTTTCAATTTCCTTTCATACATTGTATTCAGAAGACTGCATTCAGGTAATATACTTTTCCCTTGTGTCCGTCTTGAATTTTAATCGGGTGACGTGACTGTGGGTTTTCCTCAGATCCAAATGCATTGCAAACTTAATTAAAACTGTTGCTGGAGACAGTAAGTTGCTGAAAGATTTACGTGAATTCATTATTGTACGTTTTTGGTATTGAGGGAATGTTGGTTTAAGTTAATACAGGGACAATTGTATGTTTATCTATAGTTCTATTTCATGTTGTGGTGTTTGCTTCTTTAAGATGTTGGAAATATTGAAACAGACAATTGTGGGGGGGGTGGAATTATGACTTGAAAGGCGCAATATCAAATGTAAAGATGATTATTATTATTTGTTCATTAATAAATATGCTTTGGTCCTACTGGACACAAAATGAATATAATTCCCAAATACTACTGCTATTAATAAGCAATCCTTGAATTTGATATAGCACTGTTCACGTCATGATGACATCTCAACGTGATTCACACTAGAAAGTAAGTGTGACTGCATAATTTGAAAGCGAATGTGGCAGTGAATTTGTGCACAGTAATGTCCCACAAACAGCCATGAAGTGAACTTACCAAATTTATCTGAGGTCTGGTGGATATATCCAGGTACTGTCCTCCAAGCTGGGATGATGTAAACCAGTTCACAGTAAGCAACCTATGGAATTGTCACAGGACTTTGCTGAAGACGGGTGGATTCTTGTCCCATGGCACGAGGATGTAAATGGATTGTTGTGAGTGGGACGTTCCAAACAATAGAAGCTCACAGGAATTTCTCCTGATGCAGCCAGTGTGGAGCTGTGGTCTCGCTTTGGGGTGCCCCCAAAGCTTATAAAAGGGCACCATTGACAGTGGAATGCAAGCACATAATTTACTTTCCCTGTTCACTAGTGGAGACTATCTAGAATAAGGAAAGAGTAGAAAAATGATATAGTTCAAAGCTATTTAATTGTACATGTTTTATAGTGTCCTTGTACTCTCTATATATGTATATATAGAGTTGAGATCAAGGCACGCATATGCCAGATGAATTGAACATGTAACCTACATTACTGAAACAAGGCTCTGATCTGCTTTCTTACCTATATTAAAACTAGTAAAAGTTATGTGCCATAAGCTGGCTTTGAATTGCACTCAAGTTGCAATGTGAGTCAGTAAATCGCAAATAAGTATTTAAGTGTGCTGACTTCTTCAAAGGATGCTACTATAGAACCGATCAAGCGTCATTGGAAGCAATTGACTTTATCAGAAATTATGTTTTTCCTGCTACAATTGATCATTTTCTAACTTGCTCAACTTTTCTATTTCAGGTTCAACCAAGAAGCCTGCTCTGATCTGGTTGGACGTGTGGAAACTGGTTTGGGGTAACTACTGATGAGTAATAGAAGCAGCGTTCATTCCACCTCAGTGAAAACCTACGAGTGTTGTTCCAGACTGCATTGTTTACCTGTGGATTACAAATTGACTCAAGCTCTTTGAAGACGAGAAGACAGGGGAGACAAGTATAGACTTTACTACCAGTCTGCAGTCACCATGCACTCAAATCTTGCAAAATTTCTATTGCTGACAGTTAGTACTTTATATACAGCTGCATTTACTCAGGCTGCTTCCACAGAGGATGATATCATTCCGAGGATTGTTTTTCATTACAGTAAGTGAGCACATTTGTATTACCTCGTTAAATGGTAAAGAACATTGCTGAAAGTAATGCACAGACATCTGAGCTAAGCTTTCAGAACCTAACTCAATGATTATTTGCAGGTTGTCAGGAGCTTCATTACAATTCTAGTATCTGTTGTCTGTTAAGTTGCTCTATTTGAATCTGGTGCTGCTGTTGACAATGACATGCAATCAAACAATAATGAACAAAAGGCAATGTGTAGGAAATTGTATTTTCCTATGACAGCAAACTTCAATTTAAAAAGTGCAAATTACTGTATGTCCAGAAAATAATTAAATGGTTTGCTCCTTCCCTCTTATTAAATTGCAACGGATTATAAATGCTTCATGTAAATTTCAAATGAACACTGATTAGCATTGCTCATAATTTGTTTGATAGTGTTTTCTACAACCTAAAGCTGAGCAAAACTCATTACAAACCAGCTTGGAATAACAGAGTAGGTCTTATCTCAAGATTAGAGCTCTTCTGCTAGAAGTAGGGTTTTTCTTGTTAGACCAGCCTGTGTTGTAATGTGCTCAGATGCAAATTAGCAATAGAAAACAATGATGAATATCTGTGATTGTGACGAATGCTTTAGGAATCTAGTAAAATTGGTTGATGTGTTTTTGCAACTATTTTGTTGAGGACTTCTGCATTGTAAATATGCAGCTGCTGACAGTCATGTTATAGACAAGCGTAATTACTAGCTAATGTATAATATTTTCAGAATTGAGATGAGTTTTTTTTAGAAATAAAACATCTGATCAAGTAATTTCCTTTGCACCTCCACATTGGAATCAATGAACTGACCAAACAGAATGTTGTTGCTGTTGATTAGTGCTGAGGTGTGATACAATACAATACAAAATTACATTTGTATAGAGTCTTTCATATTGGGAGGACATCCCAAAGCACTGGACATTCAGGGATTTAGAATCATAGAATTATACAGCACAGAAGGAGGCCATTCGGCCCATTGTGTCTGTACCGGCTTTTTGAAAAGAGCGATCCAATTCAATCCCACTGTCCCCATAGCCCTGTAAACTTGTCCTCCCCAAATAATTATCTACATTTCTCATAAAAGTTGTTATCAAATCAGCTTCCACCACCCTTTCAGGTAATGCATTCCAGATCTGAACAACTCGCTGTGTGAAAAAAAATTCTTACCTCCCCTGTTTCTTTTAACAACTATTTTAAATTGGTGTCCTTGGGTTATTGACCCACCTGCCAGTGAAAACAGTTTCTCCTTGTTCACCCTATCAAATCCCCTCATAATTTTGAAAACTTTTATTAAGTCTCCTCGTAACCTTCTCTGCTCCAAGAAGCAGTAACTTCATAAAAAAATGTCTATAGGAAATGTTCAGAAGATCCAGAACATAATAATGTTGTCTGCAAGTGAATGCTGAAGCCATTGACATTGTGGTGCGCACTTCTATAGGAAAAAAAAGTTTGTTGAGGATTTTTTCATGAAAATGGTGCTGCTAATGGTGACAAAAGACAGTAATGAGCAACTATTCTATTTGGGCTGTATTTACGCAACCTTTGATGAAATTTAGGGTTGAAACAGCAATAAGATACTGCTGTAGTTACTGTGACAGTGCTAGGTAATCTCCCCCAGGCTGAGCTGTGTGTAAGATGATGACGAAGGCCTTGGAGTGTTTTTGCCACCACCTGTGCGGGTGATGAATAAGTAATCTGATCAGTTTTGGGGTGTTGAGCAGCATGCAAAGTAGATGGTGTTCAAAGCATTGCCTTGTGTTTTTCCCCTTACATTGGCATAGAAAGCACACAACACAATGTTACGACGAGGACCTGAAATGATGATCTCCTTGATAATGCCTTCTACTATGGCACAGTTCTGCATTGGGTACTTGGAAATCTACAGAAATTCAAGATGTGCAATTCTGTTGATACTTGATACTTTTCCACTAGCACTTTACTCACAATGCACAGTTGGCCCTCGCACGAGATAGAAGCTAAAAGTGCATTGCTTTAAAACTTGAGAATGGAAAATAACATACGGAAACATTTCTAAAGCTGGTATAATTAGGATTTATCGTAAAAGCATCTCATGACTGTACTTGTCTGCATCTAATAGTTTCATTAACTGTTGTTATTTCTTTCTAGAAATTGCGCAGAAGAGCATTTAGATTTGGCAGCTTTGTCATTTTGGTCTACGACAAAATGAAGTAGAAAGTTTATAATTTTCTGCACTGCAATACTGTGGGAATGGCTGGTAGCAATGGTGGTCACGGTGATTGTGGTGGAGATGGTTAGAAGTTGGAAATTTGCCACAGTGCTGGCACATCATGGGATCAAAGCAACAGGCATTGTGGTACACAAGGATATGAGGAGGAAATGTCCATTTAATACAACAGACTTATATTAACAAGTGAGCAATGAACATGCAATAGCTTTGGGGGAGGCCGTAGATCTCGAAGACATCTAGATGTAGAATTTGTCAGGGTTAATCGATATGAACTCCTGTCGTCTGCCAGGGAATCCAGCCTGTCCTCCCAGGAAAAAAACACTCAGACCAGAGCCTCGGGTTCTTAATCGTTCCCCTTTATAAACAACAGATCATCAAACATTTAATTTTAAATCCTTTCTGCTCGCAGAAGCCACCCACTTCCCCACCCCCCTCTCCCCCACCTTCCAAAGGGTCAGGAATAAATACCATTCAGATGCCAGTGAACATGTTCAGGCCACGTTTTCGTGAAGGGAATTGGAATAAGCTTAAAAACAAGTCAGGTTTATGAATTTCCAACTAAGTGGCCCATTGGAGCAACATTTGATTTTAAAGAAGTTACCAGTCATTCTCCTGGGTTGCAGTTAAGGGTCATTGCTCTAAGGTAGAACTTCCTTGTGTAAAACAAGGCATCCAGTTGGCAGTCTGTACAATGGTAAGCAGCTCAGAGTGCGTTCTGATTTTTTCAGCATCACAATAATGGTGGTATTGCAGCGTTTAAAACAGTTGGGTCTTTATAGAAATGCTTCCACATGCAGATTACACTATTTCAACTCTTCAGTGATAATAGATGAAGAAGATCATAATGGATTATGACAGATTGTCATACTGGATAATCCTATGACAGTTGATAACCATTCAGCCTATTCTGAAAATATTATCTTACTCAATTATCTCTCTACCCTCCACTGCAAATAGCAATAACGCTCCAATGCACAAGTCAATCAATGAATTTATTTCTCCCTGCTTGCCTAGTTTGATCTCTGGACTCTTGCTTCACAGGAGTTTCATATTTGCTCTGATTTATGACTGTTCTCTTCCAAGTCGCTGTCGTTGATTAAGAAGATATAAGTGACGGCAATATATGTGATAGGTCCTACTTGAGATGACGCAGAATAGTGGAAAATTCTGAAATGCACTCCCAAAATTTGGAAACTGGTTTTCCACAGTTCTTAATAATGAAACAACTTCGAAATTAAGACTGAATTTTCCATAATTCTGCTCTATCTTACAATTGAAGACTGAGAGCTCTCCATCCAGAGACATATCGATGCCAACTAATGATGGAAATGGCTGATTCTTTCTAAGTTGAGGTGAACTGACATACCTATGTCTCAGGATTGCAAGTTACAGTGTTACTGAGATACAGTTTGATCTTTGCGATAGGAAAGATTTGTTTTGCTTCAAGAATTTTCAAGTGATTGCAGCTGAATGTAATTTTCTGAGTGCACTGATGTGCAAAATGACTTTCATAAAAAAAACTTTCGATGAATCTGTAACTGGATGACACTCTTAACAGGTCACACCTTGTAAGGTTGAAACAGAAATGATGAAGAGCTCTGCGGATGCCACCCGGATTTTAAAAGTTTATCTCACCGTGAAATAGAATTGTTGGTTGAGATATTATTATTTGTGGAGCTATTCTTCTTGTTCTGTTTGGTAGGTTTTTAACTTTAGAATTTAGACTTTATTCAAGTGGACTGCTTTCATTTTACATACCTTTGATTATTCAAGGCAGGCTGTTTCCTAGGCAACACTAAGCACATAGTAACATGTGGTATTTCAAAGAGACCTTTGGTAAAGAAACAGCTTATCTTCCATGAATAATTAATCAGGCTAAAGGTTAGGGAACACCCAATCCCTTCTCACGTGATAATAATAAAAATAATCCTTGCATTTGATTTGAACGTGAAATTCTATAGGACTCAGATACAGGCCATTTGGCCCAACTAGCCAATGATTATACTCCACATAAGCCTCCACTGCGTCCAGCCCCTCTACCATGGTCCTCTCTTTCCTCTTCCCTTCACCTTTATTCCATTCTGAATTTTGCTGTCAGCAAATGTGTCAGTAATAATAATAATAATAATCCTTGCATTTGATATAGCGCTTTTCACGTCGGGAGGATGTCGCAAAGCGCTTCACAGAATATACTGTAAAGTGAATTGACTGTATATTTGTGGGCAAACGCGGCAGCCAATTGCGCACAGCAATTCATCACACCCCAGGTCAATTTTGTTGTTGTTGTTGCTGCTGCTATGCTCCCAGTAAGGAGCATAGCAGCAGCAACAACAACAACAAAATTACATTTGTAAAGCGTCTTTCCCTTTGGGAGAACGTCCCAAGACACTGAACAGTCAGGGATCAGGTTATGAGCAAGGACATGAACTGGGAGCATTGTCCTGGGGTGTGATGAAGAGCGGCCATAATCTAATGCCAGGACGATGTCTCAAAGAGCTTCACAGGGTTTACTGTAAAGTTCTGTGACTGTGTGTTTTGCAGGTGAATGCAGCAACCAATTTGTGCACAGCAATATTCCACAGACAGCGATGAAGTGAATAACCAATTTTTTCTGGGTATTTGTCATTGGGAGAAACTTCTTTCATGCAGAATACATTGTTAACAGCCCCTAATCAGTGCAATTTGGATGAGGGGAATAAATCGGGCTTTCCCTTACACGTCGCTTCTCTGCTTCAAGCAAAGAGTGCAGAGATAGGTATAGACAAGGTATTAGAGAATACTA